TGCCCGACACTGCCTTTCCTCCCGCAGACGATGCTGACGGCCATCTCCATGAGTGCCATTGCCACCAACGGCGTGGTGCCAGGTAGGCACGCGGCCGTGCGTCCCCAGGGCGAAGGGAGGGGGCTCTGCCCAGGCTGGGGGCTCCACGCGCTCTCAAATGGGCAGGATGGAGCATCCTGCATGCGCCGGGTACAGGAGCTGCTGGGAGTGCAGCCCGTCACGGATCCCCTTGCTGGGACAGCACCGCAAGGGCAGGTGGCAGCCAGGCTCCTCCCTGTGCCAGACTGGGAGCCGCGGGAGCGGAGCCGGAGCGATGCCGGCAGCAGGTGGCTGCTCTGTGCCACGGGATGGGGACAGCACAAGGTGCCCGCTTGGTGTCACTCTGCGGCCCAGCCAGCGCTGGATGGGGCTCCCTTCCCTGGCCGCGCGTCCTTGCTGCCGGCTGCTGCACGGGCACAGTGCCCACAGCCCCGCGTGGGGTCTAATTGGAGCCATTCATCATCCTGCCACCGTGGGACCGCGCGGCTCTGAGGGCTCCGCTGGGAGCCGGACACTTGTCCCTGGGGCCAGCGCCTGCCTCCATGCACAGGGATATGTGTCCTCGCCACTCCCGCCAGCTCCCAGGAAATGTCCCTCTGGGTGGCTGAGCCCCAGTAGCCACCTCTGCTCCATGCTGGAGCGTGCGAGGCCACGGAGGTACCAGCTCCATCCTGCCCTTTGGTACCGACCGTGGCTTCTCCTGACAGCTGGCGGCTCCTACTACATGATCTCGCGCTCGCTGGGGCCCGAGTTCGGCGGGGCCGTGGGGCTCTGCTTCTACCTGGGCACCACCTTCGCCGGCGCCATGTACATCCTGGGCACCATTGAGATACTCCTGGTGAGCGCCGCGGCATCGCGGTCTGGGCAGCGGGAGTCGCCGCTCTGGGCACTCGATGGTGGCCCAAGGGCAGGAGCTGCTCGCCAGATGTCACGGCCGTGCCTCTCTTCCAGGCCTACATCTTCCCAGCTATGGCCATCTTCAAGGCGGAGGACGCCAGCGGCGAGGCGGCGGCGATGCTCAACAACATGCGCGTGTACGGCACCTGCGTGCTCACCTGCATGGCCACCGTGGTGTTCGTGGGGGTCAAGTACGTCAACAAGTTCGCCCTGGTCTTCCTGGGCTGCGTCATCCTCTCCATCCTGGCCATCTATGCCGGTGTCATCAAGTCGGCCTTCGACCCGCCGAGCTTCCCGTGAGTAGCGCGTCCCAGGGCGGTGGTGGCAGGAGCTCCACGCTGGAGCTGAACCCCCGATCCTGCCTTCCCCTAGGATCTGCCTGCTGGGCAACAGGACCCTGTCACGCCACGGCTTTGACCTCTGCACCAAGCTGGTGGTGGAGGGCAACGAGACGGTGGGCTCCAAGCTCTGGGAGCTCTTCTGCACTTCCCGCTTCCTCAACGCCACCTGTGATGAGTACTTCAGCATGAACAACGTCACTGAGATCGAGGGCATCCCCGGCGCCGCCAGCGGCCTCATCCAAGGTGGGCATG